GGAGTAGTTCACAGACTTGCAACTCATGATTTCCACCTCCCAGCAAACCAGTTACCACAGATGTTTTGATGCAGTCTCATTTGTGAGCATTCGGAGGGAGTGAGCATTATATCACCCTTTGAATTTTATATTTGTTTCAAATTTATTTTACCCTAATTTGGCATCTACAGAGATCATTCCTAGTAATACCATAAATTTTAAACACTAGTGGTGAAAACATATCTGCCAACTGTGAGGCCGCTGAAAACTACAAAAATGACCGCAAAGTTAGTGAAGGATACCTGTAACTTAGCCTCAAACAAATTTATAATGTGAATTAAACAAGTGTTCTTTGGAAGGGCTTGACTTATACTCTAATATGCTTGTACGTTCAGAGGAAAAGGTGGTACTGTACTGTATATGGCATCAAACAGGCATGCATATACAAGGGTACATGTACAGTATAGGGTACTACATAAACTATTTGTGATAGGAGAGTGCTAAGCTTTGTGTTCTAAAAACCAAGAAAATTACATTATGTCTGTGCTTTATAAGCGTAATAAACAGGCATGTATTAACCAGGAAATAATGACTTTTCTTTTTATTTACGGGGAATAGCCCACCCGGGCACAGGTCATCAACACACAACAGGGCCTAGGGGGCAAAAGAAATGAGTAAAAAGAAATTAAAAATAGAAAAGAAAAAGATTTTATTAATCTACACTATGAAGATGCTGGAAAACCAGCTTTTTAAAGTGAGACAGGTTGTATGAGTATGGAAACAAAGTAGAAGGCAGAGCATTCCACAGTTTGATTGTGTGAGGGAAGAAGGATGTACTATAACAGGTTATTCTAGTGTGACCGACATCCAGAGAAATGGTGGGTACTGCAGGCAAGATGTGTGTTACGAGCCCAAGGCCTTGCCGGTGGTACACAGGATGCCAAATCCACCGAACATTGCCCATTAAAGTACAGTACCTGTAAAAGAGAGAGAGTGAAGTATCAGTGCAGCAAAGAGAAAGGGAAGAAAGATTATCAACTAATGGAGGAAAAGTTAATAAGACGAAATGCCTTTGATTCCACCCTATCTAACAGTTAGACAGAAGAAGAGCCACCCCAGATATGAGAGCAGTACTCCAAGTTAGGACGAATGAATCCCTTATATACTTGAAACAACAGCTCAGGAGTGAAGTAGCTACGGCATCTGAACAGCATTCCCAACTTTCGGGAGGCAGCTTTAGCAATGTTGAGGATGTGTGGCTTCCACGACATATTTGAGGAAATGGTGAGACCTAGCATATCTATTTTAGAATTTGGCAGAATGATTGCGTCTTGAAATGTGATTGGTAGGAGATCATCTAATTTGGAAAGTGTAATTGGTAAATACTGAGTTTTATTACTATTGAATTTAATGAAGTTTTTACCTTCCCATTCGGAGATGCTGCACAGATACGCATTGATAGATGCAATGATATCAGCTCTAGAAACAAATCTAGTTTGAGAATTAGGGGGAAGGGGAAAATGTGAAGAAGAGTGAAGAGTAGAATCATCAGCGTAAGAATGGATAGAATTAGTTGCAGTGCGAAGTAAATCATTGATAAAAAGAAGGAAGAGAGTAGGTGAAAGAACAGAACCCTGTGGGGCACCACTATTGGTAGAGAGAGAGCGAGAGATTGATCCCTCAACAACAAATGCCATGGATCGGTTCTCAAGGAAGCTAGAAATTAAAGAACAAAGTGGGGGAGAGAAACCATAAGAGGGAAATTTAGAAACCAAAGACTTGTGCCATACCCTGTCAAATGCTTTGAAGATGTCGAGGGCCACGACGAACGTTTCCCCATAATCCCTAAGAGAGGATGACCAAAGATGGGTGCAGTAGGAGAGCAGATCACCAGTAGATCTCGCCTGGCGAAAGCCATACTGGTGATCCGACAAAAGAGAATGGCATTCAAGGTGACTAGGTTACATGTACCTATATACTGTATAATATATAAGCTTTGTGCTTGAGGCTCATGCACACTACCATAATGCAAAGCTGCCAGAGTACAGTCAAATTTTCCTTCTTTTAGATAACTACTGTACTCAGCTCACTCTCGTGTGGAATGGTTGAATGCTGACAGCTGTACTGTATTATTATTATTATTATTATTATTATTATTAGTAGTAGTAGTAGTAGTAGTAGTAGTAGTAGTAGTAGTAGTAGTAGTAGTAGTAGGAGTAGTAGTAGTAGGAGTAGTAGTAGTAGTATTACTTGTCATTTTATATATTTTTGGTATTGTACAGAATGTGTAATATTTAAAATATTGTTTATTTTCTTATTTTGGAATCCAGAAAGAGTTCAGTTCCGGGCATTCCAGAATGTTGAAGATGTACTGTATTCATTTAAGTAAAGCAGAATTAGGTAGAAGTGATGACTAACATACAATACACATGAGACTCTATTAATGATGTTTGTGTCAGTCATATCCAGTGAACTGTCTGTAATCTCACAGTAACAGCCATGTCCAGTGAACTGTCTGTAATCTCACAGTAACAGCCATGTTCAGTGAACTGTCTGTAATCTCACAGTAACAGCCATGTTCAGTGAACTGTCTGTAATCTCACAGTAACAGCCATGTCCAGTGAACTGTCTGTAATCTCACAGTAACAGCCATGTTCAGTGAACTGTCTGTAATCTCACAGTAACAGCCATGTTCAGTGAACTGTCTGTAATCTCACAGTAACAGCCATGTTCAGTGAACTGTCTGTAATCTCACAGTAACAGCCATGTTCAGTGAACTGTCTGTAATCTCACAGTAACAGCCATGTTCAGTGAACTGTCTGTAATCACACAGTAACAGCCATGTTCAGTGAACTGTCTGTAATCTCACAGTAACAGCCATGTTCAGTGAATTGTCTGTAATCACACAGTAACAGCCATGTTCAGTGAACTGTCTGTAATCACACAGTAACAGCCATGTCCAGTGAACTGTCTGTAATCACACAGTAACAGCCATGTTCAGTGAACTGTCTGTAATCTCACAGTAACAGCCATGTCCAGTGAACTGTCTGTAATCACACAGTAACAGCCATGTTCAGTGAACTGTCTGTAATCACACAGTAACAGCCATGTTCAGTGAACTGTCTGTAATCTCACAGTAACAGCCATGTTCAGTGAACTGTTTGTAATCTCACAGTAAAGGATTCTTCAACATCAAAGGGCCTTTTCAAAAGGACTGGATGAAAGCAGAGATCCATTGCATAACAGAAAGAAAACAAGCTATCTGAAGATGACATACCCCTCAAGCATAATATGTCAGGCAAATGGATGTATAGGCAGAACAGAACCATCTAGATTGATGCACTTTATCCAACCTTATAATGTTTACTGTACAAATTGCACTATTTGGTGTAAAAAAAACTGAAAATTGGAGGTTGAGTTGATTATCCAAATTTATAGACCAATGAGCTCAATTGAATGGCACTATCTTGACATATACACATCACCTGCATCAAGTACAGTCGGTCCTTAATTTGAAGCTATGAAGAAAAAATCCCATGATTTAATTATGAACAAAAGCCTTAAGTCAAGGGTTTTTTTTCAATGCTGTACAGTATTTACATAATAGGTATCTACAGGACACTGTACAGCATATTGAAAACAGGGGTAAAGTTAACAAAATGCTAGAAATCTAGAGATTTAATGCAAAATCTGCTAAATTTAATAAGCAATATATGACGTTCTCATTTTTCTTTCATTATACTTATTGTATTACAAATAATACAATTTCCATATTTTTTTTCGAGGGGGGGGGGCAGACAATTCAAAATGGGGTATAGTAATTGCTTCCCCTCTCTTGTAGATGCCCATTGTGGCACGTGTGTGAGGTAACAGTGGTATGGATAACAGGTCTGAAAATTAGAGTGCACATACAGTACTAGAGAATCGTTCAATGTAAATCAACACCTGTTTGATAAATCAATATTCTGTATCCATAATTTGTAAGAGAGAATTAGTGAATAAGATGGAACTTATTTAAATCAGTCATATAGAATAAGGGCAAATGTTGCTGTTTCATGTCTCTAATGCCATTTCAGTTGCAAAGTCAAATAGAAAATATTTTGGAGAATGGTTCACATTTTGATGACGTTTGCAGAGTACAGTACATGTTAAGACTAGTACAAGCAGAAGCAGCATCATATCCTGAGTTGTTATTGTGAGAAATATTTTAGATGAATTGGTAATCATGGTCAACAAAGATGATGCTGGACTTGAGTGAATCTAGAATACAGTATTAAAAATAATGTTCAGTGATGATAATAATTGAAAACAAAAGTTAGGACCAAAACAATGTGTCCTGGATGCCTTAGTGAACAGGAATAAGTTGGATGTATAACGTGTAAAAAGACTACTCTACATAAAAAAGTATCTAATCTAACTCTTTTGTAATGATGTGAAACAAATTTGAGAAATACAGCTGTACAGATATCTTCATACAATATGTGCCTTCAGACAGGCCGGATTGCTGGTGTGTTGTACGCTTTCATGTGCATAGAACTGATTACTCTTATCATAATAATAATAACTTTTAGCCTCAGGGTTGCTAACTGGCAAAATTTTAAAGACAGTTTAAAAGAAGTTTATCATTCAGATCTGATACAATGATAAGACAGGATAAAAGTGAGGAAAAGATGTGTTGAGTTAAGGAATAATTTGAAAGCCAAATGGAAGAAACAATGTACAAGTGGTAGAACTGTACAGTAGACCCAAAGTTAAGAGAGGGAGAGGCAAACCAGAGACAAATATGACTTAATTTATCTTTAATTACAATTAAAGAGGTTAAAAATATTGTTTGTCAAATAAATTTAAGATGACGACTGGAAACAGCAAATTGGAAAGTGTAAGAAAGCAGAAGAGATATTAAAGATATAAACTCAATGACATATCAACTTTGTGATGTAAAGGAAGATACAGTGCAGGCAAATGTGAAATTGATGCCTGTTATTCTATTCACCATGATTTTAGGATATAAATGAACTTAATTTCATTACTGATCTGTTTTATTTATTAAAATAATTGTATTAGTTTGTACTATCCTTATACTTTCACTACTAGTTTCTTTGTAAGTTTTATGTCAATTCTGTCATCCCATGTAGAGGAGACTGAACTATTATACTGCTTGGAGTTACCCAGTCTTATTTCTTCATCCAACACAATAGTATGGATAACTATGTGATTTATGTGTGATGATGAATTGAATCAACATATCTGATCAAAATTCTAGATGATCACAAATTATACTAAATTAATTATAAGACAGTGTCAATAACAAGCGATCCCCAAATTTGCTAACCCATACCACAGAGGGTCATTCATTCCTCTAGAGCAGTGGTCCCTAACCTGTAGTTCATGACATATTATGGAGCCCACAAAGGTTTATTAGTAAATTGTGAATTATTTTGGATTCTTTGTAAGAGTCAAATTAAAGAAAATACATAATAACTTGATACAACTGTCGTGTACAAGGTGTGTGTATTTACCCCAGACCGGGCCCAGAGAGAGAGCCAGCCTTCTCACTGGAGTAAATACACACGTCCTGTCCAAAAGTAAATGTATAAAATATGAAAGTGGTAACATTGTGAAACTGCAAATGACTGTACATATACCAAATGAGATTTTTGTTTTCTTGAATGTAGATCCAAAGTTTTGGTGCCCTCCACAATATTTACAATGATAAATGTGGCCCAGAGCCCACAAGAGGTTGGGGGACCACTGCTCTACAGGAATAGTTGGCTCACATTTCCAATTAATACAGTATAATATTGCACCAACTCCTGAACCCCTCTTATATCCTTCACTTATCTCTATTAGGTCCTCCCACTTGGTACTTTTTCCAGGTCCTCCCACTTGGTACTTTTTCCTTTAGTCATTTTTTTTCTTTCAATTTTTGGTGTTCCTTGATCTCATGTATACTTGCTAAGACATATTTGTTTCTATTATCTTTACTCCACACAGAATTCCCATATCCTTGGCTTATAGTACATGTGTAGTGCAAAAAGTGACATCTTTGCCAACACAGTGATTTGAAAGTGGTAAACCAACAGGCCGACTTCTTCAACAATGTTTTTATAATGGTTCTTGAACTTTCAACATCCAAGGTTGTATACTATAGTTGGAAACCAAAAAGCTTATGAACTGCTTAAGATGTAATGCTGAGCTCTGAATCTGGGTAAAGCAAAACTACACAGATATACTGTACTTAAAGATAAATCCAAGTGCAAGAACTTAGGTTACCTCACATTCTCTCACATACTCTTGCATTTTGTAGACATAAATGGAAATGCACAACAAAATGGGAAGGATGGATGATATTTTAATGGAGTAAAGATGCAGATTAATATGATGAAGAAGTTTAGTTTGAGTCTATAAACAACCAGTCAGCAAGAGGAGATGGTGGTGAAGACGTATTGGTTCAAATTATTGTGCCATTAAGGAAACATAAAGGATCTATTGTCGCTAACCCTTTGCCAACATATTCCGTAACAGACGCAGTATAAACCAAACATTTCATGCAACTGATGCATTATATGTTTCACAGGCCCAATTTATCATTTATTTATTTTATTTGCTTTTATTTCTTTGCTGAGCCTTCTGACAACTGTCCTGAAGCAGTGTAGGCCTCTTGCCCACTAGTAGTGGCTGGACCATTGATCAGAAGAGACATAACACACCTGTTCGTATGTAGTGCTCAATGCAGGAGGAAATTGACACCATTATACAGGTATTTGATTTGTGAGACAATAATGACCTTCCCATGCATAGTGAAAGTAATATAAAAGAGGATGACAAACTGTCTAGTAAATTTTAAAGGAATTTGAATGACAAGGATTAAGAATGTACTTGGGTAGCTTCCATGAGCCACGTCTCCACTCGTGTGGTTTTGACATGGGATTGGAGTGAATCATTGTTTGTGGTAAGATTCAAACGTTCTTAATTTTTTTTTTTTTTTCAATATTCACTCGTCCAGTGAGTAACATCATGAGCTGCCACCACTGCCTTCAAAAGGTTAAAAGAGTATATTAAATGTAAACATGATAATTATTAAGAAGGAAATGCCCAATAAAAACATTTGACTCGGAATATTATGAATTTTCATGCCAAATTTCATTCTCTAGTTCTGTGGTATCATCTCAGAGCCCTCGTGAAGGAGCTAGTGCGGCTACCAAACCAACTTTTAGTGCCAGTCAAGGGTGGTTCCAGAATTTTAAGAAAATATTCTCTCTCCATAATGTGAAACCGACTAGGGAGGCAGCATCAGCTGACCACACAGCCGCAGATGCATTTCCTGCAAAGTTAAAGAAAATAATAGAAGAGAAAGGCTATAGACCAGAGCAAGTGTTTAATGCCAATAAATCCAGTCTATATTGGAAAAAGATGCCTGGTAAAACGTACATAAACAAGCAGGAGAGGCGTGCCCCTGGATTCAAGGCAGCCAAGGACAGAGTAACGATCATCTTGTGGCAACGCGGCCGGCCACATGATCAAACCTGCTTTGCTTTACCTCTCAGCAAACCCTAGGGCTTTAAAGGTTAAAAAAACAAGAACCCTTTGCCAGTTTTTGGCAGTCCAACAAAAAAGCATTGATAACTATGCAAGCATTCCTGGATTGGTTCCATAAATGCTTCATCCCGGAAGTGGAAAAGTACCTGGCTTCCAAGAAGACGGAATTCAAGGTGTTATTATTGATAGATAATGTACCAGGCCACCCAAAAAGTTTGCAGTTTAGACATTCAGGTGTAGAGGTGGTGTTCCTACCCCCTAAAACCACTGCTCTTATTCAGCCTCGCAATCAGAGTGTAATACGCACCTCCAAGGCATATTACACCCGACGCTCTTTTGGTCATATCCATAATGACATGGACACAGACCCTGACCTTGATGTTAGCAAGTATTGGAAGGAATACGGCATCGAGGACTGCATTACCAACATCAGTGAAGCATTCAATAAACTCAAACCAGAGAGTGAATGCTTGTTGGCAAACCTTATGGCCTGAGTGTGTGAATAACTTCCAGGGATTTCTGTCCATAGTAAAGGATGTGAATGACATTGTGAGTGTTGCACGTCAATTTGGTGGTGAGGGATTTGTGGACGTGGCTGCTGAAGACGTGGAAGAGCTGATTGATGGGCATGAAGAGGAACTGACAAAAGAGGATTTGGAAGAGTTGGTAATAAGTGTTGAGGAAGATGAAGAGGAAGAAATGAATTGCAACAAGAAGGTTGGGGCTTGAACAACTTTGGTGAACTATTTCGACATGTGAAGGTGGTAACTGATTTCATTGACCACGACCCTTCCAGGGAACGGAGCCTAAAGATGGCCCGAGGAATCAACCAGGTATTGTTTCCCTACCAAGAAATGTTTAAAGACCTCAAAGCCAAGAGGAAACAACTACTGTACCAATCACGATGTTTTTCAAGAAAGAACCAGCCGCTCGCCCAGCTGATTCGTCTCCCTCCCTCACTCAGTCAGCTGCTACCGCTGCTGCTCCACCCTCCTCCTCACCACCCGCCTCCCAGCCACACGCCGCCTCCCAGCCACACGCCACCTCCCAGCCGCCCACCTCCCCACCAACCACCACTGCATCACCCTCTTCGAACTGATCCTGATGATACCACCTGTGCTTCAGTAACCAGATGACTCCCTATGTACAGTACACTACTTTATCAAGCTCCAAACTTCCACATAACAGTGTAAATAGTATTAGTGACTTAAGTTTCTCATGCACAGTACAGTATAGGTATACAGTTGTGCAATAAGGTAGTATAAGTTGCTATTCGTGGTTTTGCCAATTCACGCCATTCCTTGAAACCTAACACTCGTGAATAGCAAGGGTTTACTGTACCGTATGTTCATGCTATACAGTGCTGCAAGATCCAGATTGTTTTGCTTCTTTAATGTTTCTGTTAGACTTTCAGAAAATTATAATCATTGCTACCTAATGTACTGAAGATGTTGTCATCATTTAAGGAAACAGTTTCTATGAGATGATAATTACCAATAACATACTATACGTGTGAATAAATCAACTGAACATGCATACCACCACCAAACAGCTAAAATTATATATAAAAATCCACATCACAGTCTGCTAGAAAAAGGATAACTGTATATGTGTGCACAACTCAAACATTACATACCTCACCAAATCAGGGATTCTAAAAGTAAATGACAACCCAAATGCTGCAAAACTGATGGACCTAAAAGCAAGCAAGAACAAAATTTCATTATATGACTAGCCAGTGCACAACTGGAAATCATGAAGATTTATAAGAAGTGGGGATTAAGGTGATTATCTTGCATATTTCCAGAGATGTTGCATGAAAAAGCATAGTACGTAAACAACTAACAGGGCAGCCAACAACACCTGCACAGTCCTGAAGGGCAAGTGGTAAAAAAGCAATATGGCATCAGAGAGATCATGACGATGATAATAATGTATATTAACTTTAACATGCATTTTAAAGCTTTATGAAGAGCACTTCATTCCTATAAGTCCAAAGTCCACTGTACTGATTTTTTCTTTTCTTTAAATATTTGGCCCACCTAAATGGGAACAACTTTAACCAAAGTAAAAAAAACAAAACAAAAACATCCCTTGCTGACACCAACAGGGGTATAAAAGAGAAAATGTAAAGAACAAGAAAATAATTTTAAATATACCGTAAAAATGGAGTGCAGTACTGTATGCCTAACTAGGTAAAAAAAAATAACCAAACAGAGGGCCAGATATACAGTACTCAAACACTAATGCCCCATGCTGATTTTACAAGAGGGCATAAAAGGAATTGGTCTTCTCAATACAGATGTCACAGCTATCTATGTAAAGATATATAACAAATACAGTTATATATAAAGTTTGTTTAAGAAAAAAAAAGAAACAATCAACTCAACACATTCGTCGTCTTCACCATTTCCACATTAAATTTATAAAGTTAGCCCACAATATATTTCTCTTACTCCTCTCTCACTATTGTGTTGGGTGGATCAAGTTGTACAGTACTGAAGCCTTATAAGGGGGTCAACAGTGAGCTCTACAAGTCAAAGAAAGGAGCTAAGAAAACAAGTAGGAGCACACAAGAGAGAACCGTAATACCTCTATTAATAAATCATCTGGGAATGATTCTTCACAATAACAAAGTCCGAAAAAAAAAATAAAGTGTTTCAAAAGATCTAAATTATTGTTTGTATTGTGATCATACTCCAGTGGGATTTGTTTACAACTTTACATCATCAACCAATCAGCACCGGTAAAGAGTTAAAAAATCTCCATTTATAGACCTATTGTATACCTGTTCACTGTTCGAAGTTTGTGCTCAAATTTCACATTCTGTCATTATTAGTTAGTCAGGGTAAAAAGATTTTTAGGGAATGCTCTGGAATGTACCAAAAGTTGTGTCAAGTGTGGTCATAAAGGAGCTCACATTCGGTGGTGTTGCAGCATTCAATGTCATTGTGGCTTCTTTACCTTGAGGCTGTGACCTTTAGCATGAGAGCACCATTAAATTTGTTTTTTATTTAATTTCTTAGAGAACCATTGACTATTTTTAATATATTTCATTAACTATATCTTTAACGGTTTAATATCTAACACACACAATCTATCAGCTGATGAAAATAAACAATTTCCCCCATCCTCAATAGATGGTAGGACAAGCAGGAGCACCACCAGCTAGTGATCACGTATGATCCATGACACCCAAGTTCTATTGCTTCATCAGTCATCTTGAGTATGAACAAGGATTCTATACTGTACTACTATATAAAGATAGCTCACTTCAATGGGCGATCCTGTCACAGGCTACAGTTGAAGAATTCTACCAGCTAGTCTAGCGATGAAAAAAGCTACGCAAATATTATTTGGTAAAAAAAAAAAAAAAAGATGAGAAAGCAAGGAAATTAAAAATTAAAAAGTATGAACATACAAAGGTTGAAACAGGGAAAAAAAAGAAGATTAGAGAGTATGAAGGGAGCCCGAGAATGTATGGCATTTCATCTTGAGGTTCTTGCAGTATGAATATGATCAAATAAATACTGCATTGTTGCAATATGAAACACTCATTTCATAGCTTTTTAGCTTTGGTAAGAACAATTTCAATACTGTATATTGTAAGCAACACATTGTATTTACAACATTGGACTGTATCAATATTAGTACTGCTTCAGCATTTCACTAGAGCAAGCTGAGAAAGTCTAAACAGAGATAAATATTTATATACGTATCAAAATTCCACTTGGGTTGCATTTCACTGGACTGTAATTGCAATATATTGTCCAAATATTAAAAAATTTCCTTCATAAATACATGGTACAGTATTTCAAAAACTAATAATAAAAATTGGAGGGCTATTTCTCATCATGTTAAGCATAATTAATTACAAGACATACTGTAAAGAAATGTGCTGGTAAGGTTATACAGGTATCCCTCGATATAAGAACGTTCACGATACTAAAATTCGCTTATATGAAGTTCCTAAATTACCACTTCTTTTAAGTGTTACAAGCACTTCCCCGCTCAAGCACTTCCCCCGCTTACACAAATTTGGGTCCGGCAACAAATCAAATCATGTGCCCCCGGGAATCAGCTGAGATGGCCACATCCCCCTAGTGCTATCCCTACCAGGCTGAGGTAGGAGTTAGTTATGTTATGGTTATTTTTCAACTCGTAATTTCAGGTATATAAACATAACTTTCTTATTCTTTTAATTCAGTTACATGCACACACAATCCTACATACAGAATGTGCAAAAGAAATAATAAAAAATAGTTATCATACGGTCAAAAACATTAATGGAATAAACATTTCTTCATGCACCAGCGAGAGTTAGCAGGATGAACTGAGGGGGTTATGTTATGAATATTTTTCAACTCGTAGTTTTGGATAGACAAACTTAACTTTCTTCACTTTTTTTTACTAAGTTACATGAACACACAATCCTACATATATAATGTACAAAAATAAATAAAAAAAATAGTTATCAAAAACAAAAATGGAATAAACATTTCTTTGTGTGTGAGAGCAGGAGGGGCAGCATTGCTAAAGGTCGGCAGAAGTGTTGCTATGGCGTTGCTTGAGGGTGGCCATGCGCCTATGCAAATGGCGCCTGTGTTGAACTTTCGTTTAGCTTTTCTTTAATAATTTTAGCTGCATATTTTCATCTTGATAGTATTTTATTGATGTTTTAATGTGTTAGGTAGTAAATTACATTAGTTGTGTACAATTTACCATTAGTTAGGTAGTAAATTACATTAGTTGTGTACAATTTACCATTAGTTACCGTAGGTAGTTTTTCTTGTTTGTGACCCAATTTTGTGTTTTTAGGATATGATACTGGGATATTTTTGTCAATGGGGAGCTGAACTCTATTTTTCCCATTTCCTCTGTTATTCAATTTAAGAAAATTACTTTATTTATTTTTTTTTTTTTGAGGGAGAAATAACCCATTCATATTTCGAGGGATACCTGTACAAGAAAATTTACGAGCAGATGCAATAACGCCTTGCACCAAAATGCTATCATTTGGTGCACTATGAGTTATGTAGAGACAAAGAAGAATATATTTCAATAATTAAGAACATTACAATTGTCATAAAAAAGCATCATGCTATTAACATTCCTTAATGCTTCTACCAACATCACAAGCTGAAATATTACTTTATACAGATACTATCAGAAAAATACATTAGCTCTTCCACTTCTATTCTATATCATCACAAGTATCATGACCTTGATTGTACAGTGTCAATTTTTTAATTCCAGTCCATATGAATATTTCATTCTTATTGAGATTTCTAGGCAGTATTCATATTACTGATGAAGGCTAGTGGATGTCATTTAAATGTACAGTACGTTGAAAAAAGGCTTGATAAAAAACAGCCTCCAATGACCAATGGTGATAGTTCAAGTTACTATTAACCCATCTTAACCACCTAACTGGGTATTAATCATACAGCTATACATCATTCACCTTAAAAACATAAAAACCTGAGAGCCAAAGAATACAAGTTTCAATTACATACAAATTTTTTCCAACAAATTAAAAAACAAAACAAAACAATTAATTTATATACTGTACATATATTTGGCATTTATATGTACCCTTTTATCAAAATAAAAATATGATTTTGCCAGAAGGATAATTATGCACTTCATCTAAAATCAACATTACTACCTGCCCATAAACCACAAATGTATTATAAAGAAAATAACATTAATACTCTATTTAACCTAATTTAAAAGCTCACTCTCTCCTTAATATACTCGTTCTTGATAAGAGGACACAGTGTCTGCTTGCCGAGGCTGAATCACTGGTCGGTTAGATGCACCCGGTCTTCTTGCCGGGGCTAAATATTCGAACATACTCTGTAAGAAGAAAAATTTGGCCTTTACAAAGAGTGTTTTAAGGGAAGAACAACACGGATTAAAAAAATGGAATATGTGTATGGATCACGTGTTTGTGTTAAGAAGTATGAGTCAATATTATCTAAGATACGGAAGACATTAATTGTGGTATTTATGATCAAGGAAAACTTGATAGTACTGCACTGTAATGTATGAGACAACTGGTTTATTTAATATATCTATGGATGGGAAAGTCTGGTAGCCAAGAGAGGTTTGACTGATAGGGATATGGGGTGCCAGCGGTAGGTAAATCACTTGCTATTTACAGGCGACACTCCAAGGGTGTTGGCTTCACAAAGGAAGAAAGAAAGAAAGAAAGGAAGACTTTCATTCTATTTCCTTTTCTCTCCTCAGAAGGAGAGTGTAGTGAACTGGTCTGTGAGATACACAAACATGACACCTAAGGTTGTACTTCTTTTGACTCACAAGGGGATGGGAGATTATTTTCGAATTCAGCAAAACTTTGTGTACTATTTTGGGTTTTGGAACACAACCCATGATTTCCAAAAGACATTGCTGAATTAAACTCAGTGACATTTTATAATCCATATGGTGACCTTCATCAGTTTTCTTAAACTATAGATCTGTTATGTTCACAAAGATTTAAGGACTGTACAGTATACCTGTACTGTATACATATTTGAAAAACACAAAAGTAGCATTATGTGTAATAATTACCTGAGTGTGTTGTGACAACATCTTTGACAGATCACCAGGCATAGGGTCTGTCCAGAAGAAATCATGGTCCAGAGCAGAAGTGGAATCTGTTCTCTTAAGTGGATCTAAGGTGAGGAGTCTGTCTAGCAAATCTAAAGCCTGCCAGAAGAAAGGTCAAATGTTAATGGCACATACATGTACTCAACAACACAGACTTGAGTCAATCTACTTGCCTATTTTATATGTACATATTCAAATTAGTTAAAAAGTTCACTTAATATCTAGCTTCCAATATCTTTCATATTCAATTAATCTCCTACTGGTGGTGTACATACTTTGGAGTCTGTGATATGATATATTATGTCACTTACAAAAACGAAGCCTTGGAAGAAAGACACAATGAAAGGAGGAGGCGGTGGCGGGGAGGGAGTACAGTAGTAGGGGAACAGAGGGAGAGGTAGGGGAAGGATGACGAAAAATGAAAAGGTATTATGATAAGAAGCCTGAAAAGGGGAGAGAAGTGAGAGTAAACAGAAGGTGGTAGGTAATGTTTTTGGAAAAGGATCTGGGTAAGTTTGTCAATCAGATAAGGATAATTAAATACCAGCAGTGATAAAGATGCACCTACAGTATCACTTATCATATTTCAGGAAATTAGTATAATTTGCTTAGCTATGTTCTCGCTTGGTAATTAACTCGTCCTTCTATACAGTTTGAGAGTATGTAAGACAAACATATGGTATAGTTAACATGCCATTGATATTATTGTACGATAGTTTTTTTAGTTTATGACAGGTAAGGGCAACCTTTCCTCAGTCATGGGCCGCATTTCGATTCAGGTATTTTTTTGCGGGCCAACCCAGCGAAATTTATATCCTACCAGACCCAAAACAGAGGCGGATCCAAGAATCTCAAAAAGGGGGGTCCAAAAAGTTGTGGGTGGAGAAACCAACCCCCTTACTCAAAGAATTTGTAATTCAACTGTAAACAGAGGTGTGATAGAACTGTTGCAGTCAGAGAAGTGTTTCATGTCTCGCCTGTTCCGTCCCCAAGAAAGGCAGTGACAAATTGAGGTGGATTTTAAATCTTTCCGTCCTGAACAGCAGTTAATTAAAAAATAAAAAATAAATGAATAAATAATAAAAAATTCAAGGTGCTCACTTATGATCATCTGAAGCATCTACTTCTGCCCAATGCTTGGATCTCAAAAGTGGTTCTCGAAGATGTCTATTATCACGTGCCTGTTGCTCCCAGGTACAGAAAGTTTCTAGTGTTCACAGTGGGGGATGTAAGTAATCAATTAACAGTGATGCCATATAGCCCCGAAGTTTTTTAAATCTGACATAAATCTTAGGCATTTTGAGGCCATTTTGAGGCCATTTTGAAGCCATGTGCATTTGATATTAAGAGATATTCTGAGGTCAATAGTAATTACTTTTTACTTTAAAATAAATGCCTGAGTCCAATACTACAGGCTTTAAGGCTGCAAAGGATCGTATGACAGTGCTCTTGGGTGGCACTGCTAGTGGAGACTTAAAACTGAGGCCTGTGGTGGTGTATCACTCTGCCAACCCGCGAGCTTTAAAAGGTTACCCAAAGTCTACTTTAGGTCAAGCAAAAAAGGTTGGATGACGGAGAAAATCTTTTCTGACCTTCTTGTGGATGTTTTTTAAAATATTTTTAAAAGTTATTGCAAGAAGAATATAAATTTTAAGATTCTCCTTATTTTAGATAATGCATCAAGCCGCCCTCCCACCATTGCTGAGCTTTCTGACATTATCAAAGTGCTCTTTCTACCTCTGAATACAACATCTCTCCTTCAACCAATGGACCAAGGTGTAATAGCATCTTTCAAAGCCTATTATTTAAGGCGCACATTGAAGAACCTGATTGCAGCTACTGAGGAGGGGTGTGATAAGGCCAGTGTTCTTCAGCAGCTACTGAGGAGGGGTATGATAAGGCCAGTGTTCTTCAGCAGCTACTGAGGAGGGGTGTGATAAGGCCAGTGTTCTTCAGCAGCTACTGAGGAGGGGTATGATAAGGCCAGTGTTCTTCAGCAGCTACTGAGGAGGGGTGTGATAAGGCCAGTGTTCTTCAGCAGCTACTGAGGAGGGGTGTGATAAGGCCAGTGTTCTTCAGCAGCTACTGAGGAGGGGTGTGATAAGGCCAGTGTTCTTCCAGCAGCTACTGAGGAGGGGTGTGATAGGCCAGTGTTCTTCAGCAGCTACTGAGGAAGTGTGATAAGGCCAGTGTTCTTCAGCAGCTACTGAGAGGGGGTGTGATAAGGCCAGTGTTCTTCAGCAGCTACTGAGGAGGGGGTGATAAGGCCAGTGTTCTTCAGCAGCTACTGAGGAGGGGTGTGATAAGGCCAGTGTTCTTCAGCAGCTACTGAGGAGGGTGTGATAAGGCCAGTGTTCTTCAGCAGCTACTGAGGAGGGGTGTGAGTACAGGAGCCAAAGTGTTCTTCAGCAGCTACTGAGGAGGGGTGTGATAAGGCCAGTGTTCTTCAGCAGCTACTGAGGTGTGATAAGGCCAGTGTTCTTCAGCAGCTACTGAGAGGTGTGATAAGGCCAGTGTTCTTCAGCAGCTACTGAGGAGGGGTGAGGCCAGTGTTCTTCAGCAGTGAGGAGGGGGTGATAAGGCCAGTGTTCTTCAGCAGCTACTGAGGAGGGGGTGTGATAAGGCCAGTGTTCTTCAGCAGCTACTGAGGAGGGGTGTGATAAGGCCAGTGTTCTTCAGCAGCTACTGAGGAGGGTATGATAAGGCCAGTGTTCTTCAGCAGCTACTGAGGAGGGGTGTGATAAGGCCAGTGTTCTTCAGCAGCTACTGAGGAGGGTGTGATAAGGCCAGTGTTCTTCAGCAGCTACTGAGGAGGGTGTGATAAGGCCAGTGTTCTTCCAGCAGCTACTGAGGAGGGGTGTGATAGGCCAGTGTTCTTCAGCAGCTACTGAGGAGGGGTGTGATAAGGCCAGTCTTCAGCAGCTACTGAGGAGGGGTGGATAAGGCCAGTGTTCTTCAGCAGCTACTGAGGAGGGGTGTGATAAGGCCAGTGTTCTTCAGCAGCTACTGAGGAGGGGTGTGATAAGGCCAGTGTTCTTCAGCAGCTACTGAGGAGGGGTGTGATAAGGCCAGTGTTCTTCAACAGCTACTGAGGAGGGGGGTGTGATAAGGCCAGTGTTCTTCAGCAGCTACTGAGGAGGGGTGTGATAAGGCCAGTGTTCTTCAGCAGCTACTGAGGAGGTGTGATAAGGCCAGTGTTCTTCAGCAGCTACTGAGGAGGGGTGTGATAAGGCCAGTGTTCTTCAGCAGCTACTGAGGAGGGGTGTGATAAGGCCAGTGTTCTTCAGCAGCTACTGAGGAGGGGTGTGATAAGGCCAGTGTTCTTCAGCAGCTACTGAGGAGGGGTGTGATAAGGCCAGTGTTCTTCAGCAGCTACTGAGGAGGGGTGATAAGGCCAGTGTTCTTCAGCAGCTACTGAGGAGGGGTGTGAAGGGCCAGTGTTCTTCTAGCAGCTACTGAGGAGGGGTGTGATAAGGCCAGTGTTCTTCAGCAGCTACTGAGGAGGGAGAGTGTGCTAAGGAGGTGTGATAAGGCCAGTGTTCTTCTGCAGCTACTGAGGAGGGTGTGATAAGGCCAGTGTTCTTCAGCAGCTACTGAGGAGGGTGTGATAAGGCCAGTGTTCTTCAGCAGCTACTGAGGAGGGTGTGATAAGGCCAGTGTTCTTCAACAGCTACTGAGGAGGTGTGATAAGGCCAGGTTCTTCAGCAGCTACTGGGAGGGGGTGATAAGGCCAGTGTTCTTCAGCAGCTACTGAGGAGGGGTGTGATAAGGCCAGTGTTCTTCAACAGCTACTGAGGAGGGGTGTGATAAGGCCAGGCCAGTGTTCTTCAGCAGCTACTGAGGAGGGTGTGATAAGGCCAGTGTTCTGCAGCTACTGAGGAGGTGGGGCCAGTGTTCTTAGCTACTGAGGAGGGTGTGTGGCCAGCCAGTGTTCTGTCATGGCTACTGAGGAGGGGTGTGATAAGGCCAGTGTTCTTCAGCAGCTACTGAGGAGGGTGTGATAAGGCCAGTGTTCTTCAGCAGCTACTGAGGAGGGGTGTGATAAGGCCATGTTCTTCAGCAGCTACTGAGAGGGGTGTGATAAGGCAGTGTTCTTCAGCAGCTACTGAGGAGGGGTGATAAGGCCAGTGTTCTTCAGCAGCTACTGAGGAGGGGTGTGATAAGGCCAGTGTTCTTCAGCAGCTACTGAGGAGGGGTGTGATAAGGCCAGTGTTCTTCAGCAGCTACTGAGGAGGGGTGTGATAAGGCCAGTGTTCTTCAGCAGCTACTGAGGAGGGGTGTGATAAGGCCAGTGTTCTTCAGCAGCTACTGAGGAGGGGTATGATAAGGCCAGTGTTCTTCAGCAGCTACTGAGGAGGGGTGTGATAAGGCCAGTGTTCTTCAGCAGCTACTGAGGAGGGGTGTGATAAGGCCAGTGTTCTTCAGCAGCTACTGAGGAGGGGTGTGATAAGGCCAGTGTTCTTCAGCAGCTACTGAGGAGGGGTATGATAAGGCCAGTGTTCTTCAATTTTGGAAGTTTTAATATCAAGAATGCAATTGACATTGTGGAGGCCTGGGGTGATGTCAGTAAGGACTGCTTGAGTGGAGTTTGGCAGAGGCTTCTCCAAGATTTCACTCATGATTTTATAGGCTTTGATTCATCATAGGAGCTTCCCAAAATAAAAGAAAATTGTGTTGCTCTTGCAAAGCAAGTTGGCTTTGAAGAAGTGGAGAGTGACGATGTTGAGGACCTGCTTGAGTCCCACTGTGAAGACCTCTCTACAGCTGATCTACAACAACTTGTTGCTGCTGGGGAAATAGAAGATGGAGAAGATGATGAAGTCCAGGATGCAAAACCACAAGAGCTTACCACTTCTCTTTTGTCTTCTATCCTGAGGGAAGTTGAGAAGCAGTTGCAGCTCTTGGAAGATAACGACTATAATGCAGAACAGAGCAAGATTGCAGTTCGTGGTGTAAGATCTTACTTGGCACCTTATGAACAGCTTCTTTATGAAAGAAGAAAAATGGCAAAGCAGCAAACATTAGATGTCTTTTTTAAGGCAGCTCCCAAGAAACAGTCTGAAGACACTGAACCACAGCCATCCACTTCTGGAATTAAAAGTTTTTTTTCGTCCAAACCCTGTAGCCACAACTGCACCTGATGATGATGATGATGACAACTCTCAGCCCCCGTCTGCATGACTCGTCAACCTCAAAATTACCCTTCTCCTTCATCAAGTTATCTTCATATTTTTTCAAGGTAAAGTGTTACATTTACTGTATTATTTCATTATTACAAATTAATCTAACATTTACTTAGACTGTGCTATCCTTTGTTTTGTTTTGTTTTTGTTTTTTTTACGGGAATTAGCCCACCCGGGCACAGGTCAAACGACCCACAACGGAGCCTGGGGGGCGAAAAAAAAAAGAACGGAAAGAAATTGTAAATATAGAAAAAAAAGGTTATACTGTATTAATATACACCACGAAGATGCCGGCTAACTACTATATTGGATTCAATTTTGAGTAATCTGCACCAAACCCTATTTTCTCCATAAGCCCTGTTATTTCTATTGTGCGAATTTATATTGGCAAGGCTTCACAAGAACACATCTATCGCGTTGTAGCAGAAATGACTGTACAAGCTCAGCAAGTTACAATGCAGAATGAATATAAGGTAATATTTTTACACACACAAGTTGGTAGACCAATGGAATGTCTGTGGAATCAAGAACAAAACTAGTTGGTTTCAAAATAGCCCTTGATAAACTTACCAAGAACAATGGAGGGATCCTACACAGGCCACTGGCCTCCTTCCCTTAAGTAAATAAGGGTGAGTTACTATGCTGTAAAGTTAGGATAAAGTGCCAAACAATGGCATTCCTGCCAACTTGCCAACCAGTTCACAAATTATGTAAACTAATTTTTTGAATATATAGATTCACACATAGCTGACAATTATTTTAGTTCCATCAAATAAACTTGATTTAGTTTGGAGTCTAAATACCTGATTATCTCTGACGTAGTGTTTGAGTCTCTCACACACCCGTCGCTGTTGTCCTTTAACCAATTCCATTTTGTTGTACAGGTCATAATTTTCTACAGAAGGCCAAACATCTGGTGTAATAGAGCCACAAAGCTTAGTGATGAGGGCTAATTGATGCTGTTCGGTACTCCCCTGTTAAAATGAAAAGAAAAAATCTGAATTTTGTTTTGCAAATGACATCAAACTTAAATATGTATTAAAATCACAAAATGGTGGATTGAGCATCTCTGTACAGCCAGCAATGCTAAGGAAGTTGAATAATAAAGAGTCAAGGATCAAACCGTGTTTACACATGACACCACATGCCAGCTATCAACAGGGAAGGAGGTAGAAATAAGCTCCAGATGCTATTCTGCATGGACATTTGTTCCAATATTTTGCTCTTATTGGAATCATAATGAAAAGAACATTATATGACCAGTGTTGTATGTGGTGAACTTGTTATGGAATTAAAAAAGGTATTGCACAAAATATATTTTAAATATTGCTATGTTGAAGAATTGTAATTTTGACTAACTGCTATTTTTTTTTTAATTTTCAAAGAATTTACCAGTTTAGGATACCGGTATTGACAAATGTAATACAATCTGCAATGTAAAAATAATGATTTGTGAAGCATCCTGACTCATCACACTCCTAACACTTAGAGCAAATAATAATCTAGAATTTCCTACACGAACAATGATGTCACAGGGAGTGAGTCTCAAGACACTATTTTCTAAAAGTGAGAAGCGACTGATGGTTATGGAACCAATTTTGTCCATAGCTCAGTGACTTTTCTATGGCAACACCCACATCAAATGAAGACCCTTGTTTAAGAAATGGATGGGTTCAGGTATGGCTGGAAAAGTAACCCACCACTATTCAGTATCCAAAGCAGGAAAAAGTATCAGGTATGGGGATTAATAAGTTCTATATATCAAGAAGCATCTACAGAACCTCTTCATAAAAATTAAAGCTGTCTTCACCTGTAGTATTGGTGTGCGGGTCCACATTTCAGCCATTATACAACCAGCACCCCACATATCAACTGGGGGACCATAGTTTCTTTCTCCTAAAAGAAGCTCTGGTGGGCGATACCATAGTGTAACAACACGATTTGTATATCTGTAAGTGAAAGAGAGAAGCAATATCAATAATTTTACTGACAATCTTTAAAAAAATTAAATAAAAATATTCTGAAGTAAAGCTCTATTTCTTTTATTTAAACATAAGCCTGAAAAAGAATAAAACTTTTTTATATTTTGTTGTTTTTTTTCGTAGCAGAACCCAAAGCCTGATGGCTCTTATGATGTAAGGTGACTTAATAAGGGGTATTAAAATTCCTAAAAAGAGCCCCCTAACGTCAGTCAGGAATAGTCTTTTAATCAAAACTAATATACTGACTGCACTTCCCTTCCCTTACATAACATTCCTGGGAACCTTGGGGTTAAACCCATAAGCTTGTCGACAGAAAAACTGTACATGAGTTGCCCAATCCACTGTGTCAGTTATAAAATTAGTAATGTCATCCATATCTAAAGATCACAAGACCAAGACAAAAGATAATTGTGGGTCCCATAAGCATGACTGCCCATGACAGTGTGGATACAGCACATTGTACAGTAAGCCTTCAGTATACTGTACAAGAAGACTGATACTCTGTAGTTGTATTTTCTGAAGGAAGCTTGACTGGTCAATTAGGTAATACAATACTCTCAACAAATTGGCACTTTGGAGACCCAGCAGCATGGCCCAAGTCTCAAGAACTCCAGATATTAAAAAGATAATTGTATGTGGCGTTAATTTTGCAGGAAGACCAATTAAGAAAAACATCAAAATAAGCTTGTGTAGCATCACAGTTTACAACCTAATGTATGTTCCAGCAATTTGACCATGCACTTCTAAAACCCTCAAACCTTGTTAACAAGAAGCATAAACCTTCTCTACAATGAAGATATCCTCATTATGCTGAGCAATGTACTGTATGTCTACCCTTCATAACTCACTGCAGCCTTTTTACGGAGAAATTATTGCTCTTCTAAATCTATTAAACATCTGATTATATCACAAATATAAATATTAAATTCAGGCAAATATATAACATCCTTTCATTCAACCAAAAACCTTTCAAAAGCACATAAACTTTAAAACTAGTAGTACAAACCTATTTGGTCCTTGTCTACTCGTACTAATTGCTCGAGCCAGACCAAAATCGGCTAATTTCAAAATTCCATTTTTTGTGATAAGAACATTTGAAGCTTTGAGATCTCGATGAAGGATCTTGTTGGAGTGTATGTAGTACAGCCCATTGAGCAACTGCTGCATGACCTAGGTTTAAAAGAAGATAAACATATGTGTTAATATAATTATTGTACCTAAATAATTATCTATTTCCTGCCTTTTTTGAGGTCATGCTGTACAAGCATACAGTACACTGTACCAAGATTTTAAATAAAAACCTTAACTGCAAAATCCATATTTTATGAAGCTGCTATTCTGGTGATAGCCAAGCGACCATAATAAGAGAGGAGTGAAACATACATGTTCAGTATTGTGAACCCTAAGAATGGATGCAAATTATACTTGCAACATTTTTTGTTGTGTGTGTGAAGCAAGGCAGGGTGACAAACAATGAGTACAGTAAACACTTGTTATTAAAAAGGGTTTACCATTGACAGTAAGCAAATGGAAGCTAGATCACGAGCCTCTGTGGAAGCACTGCAAGTCACCTCTACATGTCCACAATGTCTCCTCTCCATTGTTTGTGCTCATCAATTATCCACGACGCAGCATCTCGTGTTGTGCTCAAAACATAGGTGTTTTTTGTTGAAAATTACCCCTAAAAGACTTGCTAGTGCTAGTTATGCTAGTGCAGTGAAACATAAAAGGCAAAAGTCAGTGATGACCCTCACCAAGAAAGTTCAATTATCAGATAAGTTAAAGGAAAGAATGAGCGCCATCGCGGTTGACCGGTTGTTTGGTTTGAAAGAATCCAGCGTGGCACATTAAGAAGAATGAACAGGTGATTGATTCACGACTCTGCTGAACCGAGTGTTCCTGTGAGTGTTAAAGTGGAGCAGACTTCGTGATGAGAATATTGTGAAACCAAAAAATAACATTGAAATTTGGATTTAGGACCAGCACCAGAAAAACATGAGAATCACCAACAACATGATTCATGAGAAGGCTAAGAGACTCTTATGTCTATTTTCATGAATCAACTGCCTGACACACCCAGTACAGTACAACACATCAGTTGAGAGAGTGTGACACATGACCTAACTCCTGTGCACACAATTACAACAAGAACATCACATAGTACAATACAGTGATATCTCAGTCAGCCGGAACAATTGGTGCAGAGCACTTCCGGATTGAGAGATTTCCGAGTAACGAGACGACTCTCTCAAAGCCGGAAAAAATCCATCATCCCTTAATTTTCAGAAATTTTCCGGGCAACGAAAAAATGTTCTCGGAAGTTCCAGAAATTGCCCATTACATCATCTCTTGAACCCAGAAATATATCCCTCATCCCCGGAATTTTCCGGGTAACGGAAACTTTTTCGGAAATTACAGAAAATGACCATTACATCATCTCTCAAACCCGAAAAAAACTCCCCCATTCCTGGAATTTTCCGGGTATCTGAAAAAATTTCTCGGAATTTTCCGGAAAATGTGCCCCTCGGAAAATCATTCCCAAAGCTGGAATTTTTCAGAAATTTCCGGCTTTAGGAACGATTTTCTGAAAAATTTTTAATTCCAGCTATCGGAGAGTTCAGAGTTTGAGGGATTCAAGCTAACGGAGATATTACTGTACTGTAATGTGCTTATACTCGGACGTAAATCAATAAAATCTTCAATAATTGTTGTTTTTTTCTGTGCATATATTTGGTATTATTTATGTTTGATCTGATTTGATAAAATAATATATATACCTCATGTTTGTTTTTTATATAACATTTGTCTCTAAAAAGTATGAACACAAAATATTCCCCAGGAACTCGTCATTCATTTATAAAATTAAGCTGATGGGAAAATAAATATCAATTTATGTTGTTTCACCAACACAATGTGATCTAGAAACACAGCCATGATATAAACAGTAGTAGTTACAGATCCACAGTAAGACATATATATCTATGAGAAGATTCAAATAAGTAGATGCTTAATGGAGGACATCTGTAATCCCTCAGTACAGGTAGCACCGAATAAATCATTTTACCATAAAGATTAATTACAACTGCCCCCTTTTATCTCATCAAATTTTCAAGGGTACAGTCACGGTCAAAGTAATCATCGACCCCACCACCGAACCCTGCGCTTGGCCGGGTCCTTTCTGCACAGTAAGTGACATGGGGTGGAGAGAGGTAATAGTCGATTTGGAGGGAGAGCCGTTTTTTGGGAGGAGGGGGGGGGGTGGTGTGGAAGGGTGTTATGTGATGCAAGTTGCTCATCAGAGAGGGAGGGGATTGAAGAAAGAAGGGAAATTCATGAAAGAAGGAAGGGAAGGATGAATGTAATTATTTTTCTTCACTAAATTATCTTAGGTTTACATGCTTAAAAGAGTAATAGATGATGACCATTGCTATTTAATTACCAGTATTATAACATGTCATCCATTTCCTTATTTATATCTTTTTTTTCTGGTTGTGGTTCAGGATTTAGACAACGGTAATTAGATATTTATAATAATATGAGGAGAAATATTGAATACGAGGGAGGAAATTGCATTTATTTTTAATATTTACCAACACAGGTCATACAGAATCCTAATAGCCCGTCCAGTGTTCTCTTCACCTGTCAATCACGGTCTCCCCAGCCTAAAATTATATAATTTATAGGAATTAAGAGTTCAAATATGTTTTGTTAATAATACACACCCAAAATTATTCAGTTTCCCAAGTTACCAGACTCCTCCCAGCAGGTTAATCAATGTCTCACAGTGACCCCCAACCTCCTTTGCAATTTCTGTCACGTTGTAGCCAGACGCACTCAAACTGATAATTTGCCAGCGGCTCGCTTATCGACATTCTTTAGCATCCGTGTAGGGCTGGGTGTGGAGCAGTGGACAAACACCACTTCGCATTGATTTTCATAACTCTAATAAATATATTCCAGAGCGGACAAGTCATATTCTATCGAACAATTCATTATTAATTTTTTTTTTATCAATTAATAGTGATTTTTTTCAAGAACAGTAGTAGTGAAAGGTGGAAGTGATCAAGTAACAGCCTAGTTTAGTGTTACTGGTGGTGAACAAGGTCTAACACAAAGCAATGCCCCCTCCTCTCTTATGCTGTCATATCAGGGGCTTTCCCTCATGGAAGTCAGACACCTTATCAACCCTAATGACACATAACCCACCAAAAGTTCACTCACATGTCTCCCCAGACTCTCAAGTAAAGGCATAGATAATTAAGGGAAAGTTAACTACATACAACACAATTTGTGAGGGAATTACTACACCAAGTCAGGTCCTCATAACACCATCTGGTGTGAAGGAATTACTATGCCAAGTCAGGTCCTCATAACACCATCTGTGAGGGAATTACTATGCCAAGTCAGGTCCTCATAACCCATCTGTGAGGGAATTACTACACCAAGTCAGGTCCTCATAACCCATCTGTGAGGGAATTACTACACCAAGTCAGGTCCTCATAACACCATCTGTGAGGGAATTATTACACTACATGTTTGCTGTTCAACAACACCTCAGTGCACGCAACGTATGTGACCTCTACTGTAAACATCAATTTGTATGATCAATTATGTTCATCTTCCTTTCTGTAATAAACACATTTGTTAAACACCCCCCCCCCCCTCTTAATGCATGTAATAAGTCATTTCTGTTAACTTTATATTTTCAGCCTTCGGACTGCTGAACTTTATCAATAAACTGTTAGTTATTATTGTTACTCACCTCACACCACCCACACCCACGACCGCACTCTAACTACCATGGACATAAATTTTTATTTTTAAGTTTTTATCTTTTGATAGTTGCAATTAAATGCCAGGTAGCGACGTGTCCTATTATTACGTATTTGAGTAATTATTAGATGTTTTAATTGCCTGTATGTTGGCCTGGCGAGTAAATGCAAGGCATAAACATACGTAGGTATAAAGCTAGACGTCGCATTCTGGACTTTATCACAAAAACTTTTTTAGAAAAAAAAAAACGGTTTTTTTTTTCCACATTCTGTATGAACAATTGTGTGCGCACATAACAGACTAAAAGAAATTTAATAAAAATAATCATAAATAAAATTAAAGAATGAAATACCACATTGCCAGTAGGCGAGAGACTGGAGGGGCTAAGATCTCCACCGTCACCCCCTCCTACCACAATCTGGGTGACTCAGGCGGTAATAATGTTTTTATTATCTTTATGTTTTTGACCTATGATCATCATTTTTTTTTTCACATTCTGCATGAACAACTGTGTGTGCATGTAACAGAGAAAAAGAACTTGAATAAAAATACGTACTATATCTGCTCGATATTACAAGTTGAAAAATAACAACAACACAACTCAAAGGTTGGCCCAGTAGCGGGAGAGGTCAGGTGATTTAGTGAAGGTGGTTGGCAACCTCCCAAGTCCACACACATGTTCATAATATTGCTGATGGCAATAACAAGAAAATATTTCAGTCTTGGGGCATAATTATAAGTACTACAGTAATAACAGGTTTAGAGGTTTATTACTTACCTTTTTAATTTCACCTAAATTAAATTTTACGTTGACATTGGAGAGCAAGCCAGCCAAGTCGTGTTCACAAAATTCAAACACCAGGAAGAATGTAGAAAGACTGGACATGTGAGGGGTTGCTGATGGGAAATAAAACAACTGTTATCAATAAATCTATTCAATATCTGGGTCTATTTTGAACCAGTTCCTGGATCAAATTTGTTATCTATTTGATAGAAGAAAACATTTTAACTTTAAATTATATTTAAACAGATCTGTGGATGATCTCCTTTGTTTAAAGATTTGCATTATTTAAGGCAAACACTAAATTCCCAGCCTCTTTAAACCTTTAACCTAAACATTCAAGGCACATTACAATACAGGTACAGTATTTATTATTTAAACTGGCTGAATCACAACACAAAAATTGATGTCACTTAATCCTGCTATAGATATTATTTAAATAAGAAAGTGTTTCTATTTGCTTATGACACAGTATAATGAACATATAAAGATTTTAGTTCAAAATCAGTTTCTGGTAATACTACAAAGACTGAGAAACAAAATAGAAGTGAGTTACTACATTAACCTCTTGCCTTATTAACCCAAGTTAACTCCAAAAAAAATTACGCATTTTTTTTTCACGAGTTAACTCGTGGTGCTCCCAGTTTCCACATACAGGCGCCTCCAGGCCTGAGTATACTTGTGCTATTTGATTTGTTCCATTTTCTATCAATGGGTGGCAGCTCAAGACTTGCTAGAGCCAATCAACCAATGAGTACCACATTTCCAGAGCATCAAAAGAAGCATATTTTCTCAGTGTTTTCACCCCTAGTATGTCCAGTGATAACAATTCGGTTGATAGTAGTGATGAGTGTATTGATATAGATGAACCTGGGAGTGAGTGCAGTGACAATGATATGGATACTGACAGTGAAAGTTCAGACTCATTTACTGACACTAAAGTCCACCTGACATTCTAGGTGGAAAAGATCAAACTTATCTCTTCTCCTAGTTCAGTCCTCCCCACATTTACATACTGTACTTTCACAGGCGATGCTACTGTAAATTATACTTCAAATCCAGATAATACAGCAGTTGCAATATTTCAACATAATTTTTTATGATGATCTTGTTACTGTTATTGTAACAGAGATGATCAGTGTTTGCAGTAACTGCCAGCATCTAGGAATAATGGTAAAAACAAGTGGTACTCTACCCACAGTGATGAAATTCATGTTTTCCTTGGTATTACTATATTATCTTACAGATTATTTTAAGGAAACCTGATTACAGTTGTATTGGTATAGGAATACTTTATCTTCACCATTTGTCCAACAAGTCATGCCATACAGAAGAATTTGTACCATTAAACAATACTGTACTTGTCCTTTGCAAACAATGAAGATTATGATCCTGAGTCTCTCCCAAATCCAAAGCTGAATAAAATATGGCCGATTTATAATAACCTGGAGAAAATTTATGGATCTTTATACCCGAGAGAGAAATAAGCATTGATGAAAGTCTCTTGTACAAAGGGAGACTAGGTTGGGTACAATATATTCCTTAGAATGTGCATTTTCAGTATCAAGACCTATATATTTTGTGAGTCATAAAATGTGTATGTTTAGAATTTTATCATATACAGCTCCTCCCAGACTTACGACCACCCGCACTTACGACCTGCCTCGGTCGTACCAAAATTTTGTCAAATTACGTATTTTCGAATCCCAACGTCAGTACAGTCAAAATTTTTGTTTGTAATTCACTTTAAAATGGCTGGCAAGCTTAAAAGTGAGAGTTTTGTGGTGCTGAGAAGAAAAAGAGACACCCACTTTAGATTTTCTATGTATTATTTAAGCATTTTCGACTTACGACCATTTCGACTTACGACCTGGATTTGGGTCCCTAACCCCGTCCTAAGTCGGGGAGGAGCTGTAACTGTACACAGGAGAGCGCACAGAGTTTGATGAGGATTATAAAATCTACCAGTTTCCTCTTGTGAAATTTTGACACTCATGAGACCCTAGATGAATAATGGATATGTCTTACTGTTGACAACTTTTAAGATACAGTACCACAACTTACTGATCTACTTATACAAAATCACACTGACATATATGGCACCGTCAAGGCAACTAGAAAAGAAATGCCAATGGACATGAGAAAAGTAAAACAGAAGGCGAAATTTTTGCTTAGCAAAGAGGGAAGGCGATTGCAATGCATTGGAAAGATAACAAGGACATAAGCTTGCTCTCAACAGTTTACAATGCAGAAATGGTAGATGTGGAAAAAAGAGGTGTAGTAAAATCTAAACCAAAACTAGTAATGGACTACAGGAAAGCCTCCGATAATGACGGTTTTACTAACGACGATTCATATTTAAGACCCTGGTTAATTTAGGCCCCATTTTAATTTACACCATTATATTCGTTGTATTTACGACAAAAATAGAATAAAAAATAAAATAAAATTACATTTTCATATAAATAATAACTAAATCCCGATATGTACCATTATTATACAAATAAAAAAACAAAAACACGCCTTGCGCACGGAGGCTGCTGGGCTTGTGAGTGGTGACATCAGCATCACTAGTATCAACAGTCGCAGCTGGCGGGCCCTTTGTTTTCACGCATCTTAACAGGAAAAGGAGAAAAACTTTCTCAGGTTTCTTACGGCATTTTTGCGTCCCTATTCAACATGAGCAAGTGATGGTAGTGTTGTTTCAAAAGCTAAAAGAAAGTGTATATGCTTAGCCGAGAAACTAGATGTGTTACGACATGAAAATGGTGAGAGGTCTGTGGATATTGTATGGAGGAGGAGGAGGCAGCCGCAGAGTTTCAGTGACTCGACACCCTTCTCCTCTGCTCCCACCCTCCTCCTCCTCTCCCGCCCTCCTCCTCCTCTCCCACTATCCTCCGCTCCCACCCTCCTCCTCCTATCCTGCCCTCCTCAGCTCCCACCCACCTCTGCTCCACCATCCTCCTCCTTCGCTCCCACCATCCTCCTCCTTCGCTCCCGCCATCCTCCTCCTTCGCTCCACTGCCCACCACACACTCGCTCTACCACCTCCGCCCATCAGTGAATACCAATAAAAACTTAGTACTGTAGTTCTATACACTATTTTCTACAGAAATGACAATGATTTTCTGTATAAGTATCTTTTTTCATGGGCCAAAGGGAGGCTCAGGAATGTAACTCCCGTATTTTATCTATTTTTTATGGGTAAAATTGATCCGCTTAACGTTGTTTCACATAACGCCGCGTTTTCAGGAATGTAACCCCGACGTTAAGCGAGGACGCCCTGTACATGTACGCCTTCAGCTATCAGGCAGACACTTTCCAGATATTATTCCTCCTCCATAAAGAAAAACAATCCGACAAAGGTGTATTTTGTGTGTACAGGTAGTTGAAAGCGAGATGCATCTGGAAAGAGAACTAGACGAGAGAGCAAGTATTTTTGCCCTGATTGTGAAGTGACACTGTGTAGCACCTTGTTTTCACATATACCATACAGTACTGTACACAGTAAAACCCGTAAATAAATACTATTTTGTATGCTCTATAATTTTTCTAGTAAACTGTTATCTTATATTAGATTTATACGCATTTTTTGTGCACTTATATTATTACATTTGAAAGGGATAAACGATATGCATCCTGCTTGCTTTTATGCTTGTTTCTGCATGGGGTGTTTTATGTACTACAATATTATGTAACTGCATGAGAATACTTTTTATGCATGTGATTGATGTGATGTTCTATATATACAGCATATTGTATGACAGAAAATCTTTCAAGGTTTATACATTTATAACAAGCTTTCTGCATGTTCAGTCACAGTCAAAGGTAATCGCCCACCCCTCCTCCTACCATATCCTCAAGGACGGGTCACAAGAAGGTGGGGGTGGTATTTATAGGGGAGGATTAGAGGGGGCAGACTAGGTAAAGTAGGAGGGCACAAGTCAAGAGCCACATACTCATATGTAGCGAGAGTGTATGTGGTCTTACAATTATCTTTAACACCTGAAGAAGGAGTCAAAGTTGGTGGATGTAGCTAGATGTTCATTGCCTTGCTGACCCTGGCAGTTGGTTGGCCTAAAGCTCAAACAAGAAGGTGTCTGGGAGGGTGAAGGGGAGGTGTCACATGGCCTTTCTGTTTGGGAGGTTTATCCAGTGTTTGTACAGGGGGAAACCGGGGACCGGGAAACCTGTGGTGTTTGGTAGTGAGGGTCACACTGTATAACACCCTTCTCACGTGTGTCCGGGCCGAGGCTCGAACCCTTGACGCATTGGTGAGAGTTATGCTCGTTACCGCTGTACCACCAACACCAACAATATTAATTAATAAAAAAAATAAGAATGATTTATTGGATAGAATGTGTCTTGTCCACCATGTAATATGTTTAATAGAATTACAAAAACCAATGCAAGGTGACAGGGTGGTAATGGCCATGGTGTTTGGCCACTGCTCCACACCCAGCCCTACATGGATGCTAAAGAATGTCGATAGGTGAGTCGCTGGCAAATTATCAGTTTGAGTGTCTGGCTACAATGTGACAGAAATTGCATGGGAGGTTGGGGGTCACTGTGAGACATTGATTAACCTGCTGGGAGGAGTCTGGTAACTTGGGAAACTGACTAATTTTGGGTGTGTAATATTAACAAAACATATTTGAACTCTTAATTCCTATAAATTATATAATTTTAGGCTGGGGAGACCGTGATTGACAGGTGAAGAGAACACTGGACGGGCTATTAGGATTCTGTATGACCTGTGTTGGTAAATATTAAAAATAAATGTAATTTCCTCCCTCGTATTCAATATTTCTCCTCATATTATTATAAATATCTAATTACTGTTGTCTAAATCCTGAACCACAACCTGAAAAAATTATAAATAAAGGAATGGATGAAACATAATAGTAATCATAAAATAAGGATCCTTACCCCTGTATCTATTTCTCTTTCAAGCATGTAAACCTAAGATAATACTGTAGAGTGGGGAAAAATTTACATCCATCCTTCCCTTCCTGGTTTCATGAATTTCCATATTTTCTTCAACCCCCTCCCTCTCTGATGAACAATTTGCATTACATACCGCCCTCCCACACCCCCCAACACACGGCCCTCCCCCACATTGACCATTCTCCCTCTCCACCCCACGCGACCTACCGTGCAGAAAGGAGTCGGCCAGGTGCAAGAGTAAGGTGGTGGAGTGGATGAATACCTTTGACAGCGACTGAACCATATAACTAATAGTCTAGTTGTAAAGCTACGTTGTCTGCCACTGTATTTATGTTTTTTTCTTCTTCATATATAAGCTGTTTCTTTAAATTTTCAAACATTTATAGTCATGTTTGTTTTGTGCTTGGATGGTGTTATATAATGAACAAAGATTAAATTCCTCAGTGAGATGTACATAACAGTACAGTATTTCCAAGCTGCATATTTTATAATTTTGTCAGCAAATTTTCAAAAATTTTAAATTTTTATGTTGACAGCTAGAAGAATAAATTTCATTCACAGTAAGAAATTCAGTACATGTACATAAATGTGACACATCTGTTAAGTTGTCACTTTACGAAAATAACAAGACTAAGTATTAGAAAGTAGCACTTACATTACTTTATTAGAAATACAGTGAACCTTCAAAGATCCGGACTAAAAGGGGGGGACCAACTGTCCGGAAGGCCGATTGTCCGGATTTTCAGGTGAATAATAAATGAAATACTGTACAGTAAGATCTTGCATTTCGCGAGTAATATAGACTGGAAAAATTGCGCCAAATTCAAATTCGCCGAATGCAAATACATAAACCAATGGGAAAAATAACAATATAGACTGGCCACTCTACATCAATCTCTGATTTTCCTGTTTATAACCAACAAATGATACAAATTTTGCAGATAAAGATAAATCATTATTTTAAACAATGCATAAACCCTTAAAAAATACAGTAGCATTTACCGATTTGCCAAAACTTGATGAGCTTGGGTGGTGTTGGATATCCGAGGCTGGGGATGAGCAGGCTAGCTGGAGCCACCTCCCCGGCTCTCCTGGTTCAAATCCTAGGAAGTCCTCGGTGGTAATATCTGGCAAATCCTGTTCCCTCCTCCACCTCTTCTCCAACATTGATGTTCTGGAGTGCATCGCTAACACGTCGGCGTCGTGTGAGGTACCGTGTGATTAGTGACTGCTGACGTTCATTTATCTTTCGCTGGTATCTTGGCATAAATGTGTTGATGGCCTCCACTTTGCTCACCAGTGATGCACGCTCATTCTCGGACAATTCTTCAACCAGTTCTTGGAGGTTCAAACAAGTGCTCAGTATCAGGGACATCTTGCTGGCTGTGATCTTGCGTTCCTCTTCAGCGTCGCCTTCACCTGCCTCGTCAGATGACTCATCAGCCACATCTTCCAGCATTTCTTCATCATTCTCCTTAAGCATCTCGTTGATCCGTTGTGCATCCACCTCACGGAAATCAGGTGCTGGGGCACTCCTTGCACTTTCTACTGCAGCTTCTAAGAAATCCGCCTGATGCTGCACAACTGACCTTGCATTACTCAGGTGTGTGAAGACGGGTTTCCAAGCATGTTTAATGGTTGCCAATGTGATTTTGTTCCATACGGCTACCATGTGGTCCACAGCATGTCGGATATGAAATTGCTTCCAGAATTGCTTGACAGAGAGCACATTCTGTTGAGTGATGTCACTAAGAGAGTTGCTAGCAGGGTCTTGCGGCAAGGTGGGGGAGTTGCCAGAGGTGCCGACTGAAGCAGGGTCTCCCACATCGCTATCATTAGCGTTGTTGATTTCGTTCACTTCATCTTGAAACTCTGTGGCTTTCCTCATTCTGTCGTGAACTGCCTTATAGTAAAGCAACTTCACGTTGGCAATTATTTCTTGATCAAGTGGTTGCAGTATGGAGGTTGTATTGGAGGGCAGGAACACCACCTGAACATTAGGATGTCTACCAACCAGATACAGGGCATGGCCAGGAGCAATGTCCATAAATAGAAGCACTTTAAAATCTAATTTCAAGTTCCGGCAGTTACGTCATGAGTCGGGCACAAATCACTCATCAAACCACACGTGGGAAATATTTCGCGTCATGTAGCCCTTGTGATTTTGTTTCCAATACACATTCAAGTTAATCATGTCAAAATTGCGGTAGGCACGAGGCTTCTTTGATCGGTAGATAACTAAGGGCTTCATCTTATGCTGACCTGATGCATTTGTGGTTAGTAAAGCAGTGAATCGGTCTTTAGCCATCTTTACCCAAATGCCTGTTTCATCACAATTATAAATTTGATCCAATGAGTATCTACCTTCTTCTACAAGTTGCTTTGCTATCTCTGGAAATGAACTTGCAGCCACCTCTTCTGCAGACGAAACTTCTCCACGGTATCGTGCATATTTCACACCACAACGTCTCTTTAAGTTTGCCAGCCAGCCAACAGAAGCACCAAATTGAAGGGGATTATTTATGTTTTTCTTGCGACATATTACAGCATAAAAGATAGAGGGCTTGGTCTCGAATTTGTGATCCATCAACACTTGCATTTTCTGTCACACGGCGGGCAAGCCACTTGCTCAAAAAATTTTCTGTCATAGCCATCAGCCTGGTTTTCTCAGAGGATTCATACACAACTCTATTTGACGCACCAACATTTCCACCAAAGAACTTCTTTGCCACTCCTAAAGAATTCTCTATTTCCCCTTTCTTTGCCTTTATTGACCTGATTGTGCTTTCCGGAAAACAAGTAATCTTTCTTATCTCACTAATTTTTAGGCCTTCCTCAAGTAACTTAATCACACGCTGGTTATCTTGCATCGAGTACTTGGCAAACTTAATTCCCTTACGATAGACCCGTTTCTCCTTTTCCTTATTTGGCCGCTTAGGTGAGTCTGTCCCACCCCCACCAGCACCAGTGGGACACCCAGTAAAGGTAAAGGCCATTATCTTGACACGACAGGTAGTAACGCCACCAAAAAAAGCACACAACAGCAGCCCGGGCGGTCGATAGGAAGGTGCGGGAATAACTGGAATAACCGGTATGACGTCATTCAAGACGGTGGCCAGCGTTCAGCTAGCTGGATCTCGTGAAACTCACAATATTTTACGCCAAATATAATACTTGGTTACATTAGGTAGTGCTCACGAAATTCAAAAACGCGAAATGAAATAACGCGAAATGTGAGATCTTACCGTAAGAAACACCAAATATACAGCACTAATGTTGTGATAAACAAATTACTGTATATAAACCAGGCATTTACCCATGATAACATAATAAGAAACATTGTGTCATTACTAGAGTCAATGAAATAATATTCCCACAAACAACAATTGTCAACTCTGTGTATGTTTCCCACCTCCTCGGGCACCTGTGTCCAAGCAACTGACGGGTCAAGCAGCGCCCACGGGCCTAAAATGTTCTTTGCTCTGGTTTAGGAATGCTTCTTAGGGAAACTTCTAGGAGGCTTCTTAGCCCAGAACCCCCAAATTTTTTGTCCGGATCTTCCGAAATCCGGATTTCCCAGGTCAGGATCTTTGAGGCTTTACTGTACAGTACAGTATATCACATCACAATACTTTATTTCATGTTTTATGGAATTGTGCATCTAATGTATTTTTGTTTTTACTAAGTACAGTACTGTGCTGTACTACAAGTTATAAAAATGTACATCTTTTTATTTACTTTTTTGTATACTGTACAGTAATTCCTGAGATATCTCGGGATAATATTTACAGTATAATTTTTGACTGTGTAATTATTTCATAAATAATAAACTATACAACAAGATATTTTATGTTACTTTGTCCATATGTAGAGATTTCAAAATACAAGTACAAGAACCAATTAGATTCGTTATAGCATACTGTACTGTACCGTAGTAATAAAAAAAATTTATGACTTTTGGGGATAAATGCATAAGGCAAGAGGTTAATAATTCCCATAACTCTGAGAAAATATATCCTTACACTTCACCTGTGTGCTGTCATGGAAGGGTCGATTTATTAATGAAATTTAGTAAAAACAAAACAAAAATGGTTAATGTACAGTAAAGAGATTTTTAGTTACCAGGCCCAGAATAATTTATATAATGAGGCAAAAACTTACCTTTTGCTGGCTTTTGAAGTCCTGGGGGTGGTGGACCTATGAGAATACATGAATCAGCAATAGGCTTTTATATATCTAATACATAAGAATAAATACTCCAAGAGAACAAATGTATTTGCCGCCAAAACATATCAATATTATGTGCACACAGGGCAAACAAACCATTTTTTGCAGAGGAAGAGATCAGACAAGTGTCACTCAAATCAATTCAATAAGGTGTTCCCTTGCCATACAGGGATTTTTGTTTTAGGGTGATGGACTAGGAGAGGTACAGTCAGCATAAAATCATTCTGCACCCCTGGATACGATGGCTCTCGCAACGAACACTGCGAGACTGACGCCATGTATTGGTAGGGTTGGTACCTCTGATTGTGTGATTCATTGTAAAACTTATGTGCTGTTATTCCTTTTATCATGTGTAGTAACCACAGAGAAATTATCAGGAATACATATAAAACCCATAGCACTAAAACCAGATAATGTCACAGCATTATATAGTATACCGTAGTACTATGTTTAGTCACCCACATACGGTAGAAATGGCAGGCACTCTAGAAACTGAGGTGCTGTATAGGAATTTCACATACTATGAGATACAACGAGATGGTGTAAATACTCATGATTATAACCACTATCTGAGAAAGTGATGAGAAGTGGCATAATACAAGACCTCATCCAGAAAAAACAATACGAAACATAAGTAACGTAAGAAAGTTATACAATATTACGCATAGGTAACTGAGCTATTGGAAAGATGTGAGTTAAGAAACATGCTATATCTCTTTAATATGTCACAATATATGATAAGAATAGGGGGTTGACCGGGGGTAACTGGTAGTAAAATTCACAAAGCAAAAACATTGTCAGTGCTATTTAACAGTGTAGCAAAGAATTTCGCCAGAGGATGTGTGCTCGTTTAAAAGAATGTAATGAATCCGTTAGAAACGGAGCAGTTTCTATCTGCAAAGGGCAGACCATCAGAGCAAACAGCAGGAGTTTTAATAGGCCAAACTCCAGTCATATTTATGTTAGTCATTATGAAGACCTCAGAGAGAACACACGCAACAATCATAGCACTTCATGGAGAGGGCCTGAGCAACGGTGCGATTGCTAGGCGGCTCGGTGTTTGCAAGCGCACCGTAGCCTCATGAATAAAGCGCCACGACGATACAAGACAGACCCTGCATCAGGTTGGAGCCTGCACACCACAGACATTCAGAAACAGACAACACTGCAATGACCTCCATGCCCATATACCCACAAAGAAGCCACACCTGACTGAGGTAGACATGGAAAGGCACCTGGAGTATGTTAGAGTATGCAGAAAAGCCAACTTGTTTCTGGGAAGACGTTGTGTACTGCAACGAGAAGACGTTCACCACGGATGAGACGACGACTACCAGAGTTTGGCGCAGACGCAACGGACGGTAACACTCTCTCACCCCTCTCTCTCACTCACTCTTTCTCACTGTATTAGAAATATCTACAGCTTAGTTATAGGTTCAGGTAGTTAATTGGAGATATGAAGGAGATACTGAATGGAACCTTTATGTTACACATGTCACACATCTGTAGTCGCCAATATTTAGGAAATCAAAGGTAATGTCACACATGTGGAATCGTCTACCACATAGTTAATACCAGGATGGCAACATAATTATGTTTTGTCATCAGTCCCTTTTATGCATTTTCCCAGTTATGAAGCAGGACATGTGGTTGGAACCCAGAGAAGTGGCAGAGTCAGTGCTGGTGTATTCGGCTGGACTCTTGCAAGACAACTCTCCCATACACACGAGTAATGTTGTCAAGAGTTGGTTTCAGAACCACCCACATGTTAGGCTTCTGCCATATCCTCCAAAATCGCCAGACCTCAACCCCACAGAAAACGTCTGGGCAGAAATGGTCAAGACAGGTCGGCTAAACAACATCCCCAGCCATAGCCAAGAACTGTTAATTGCTGATGCAAAGATGGTATGGGAGGATATGGAAGGCATCGGCCAGGCCTTGATCCAGAACTTGTGTGCGTCCATGCCTAACAGGCTAAATTGTCATTGACGTAGGGGATGCCTACACTAAAATATTGATAGAAATAAAATTACAATCACAAATTACACGTGTTTACCTATCATAGGTTACATAAGGTTAGGTTATTTGAACATTTATTATGTGAGAATCAATGAATGCAATTCCTGTGTTTATACACTATGGTTGTAATATATACCTCATCTTCCATCTGCCATGGATATCAACCTCATTTTGTGCACCCAAAAAGTGTTCACCTTGAAATAACATGCGACCATACCAGCCGCGACCCTTCTACTGCATATCATTAACCTATGCTAGAACCTTACCAGCTTGTCTAAGACATGACTGGGTGTTTACGTCTGTTACACTAATACAGTGGTCCCTCGGTTAACGAATGGTTCGATTAACAAAATTTCGGTTAACGAATTACCTCCCATAAGGAACTTCAATTCGGTTAACGAACAAAACTTGGATTAATGAAATCCTTACGACAAACACGTTTTGTTGTGAGCATCAGCTGAAGGGCTAGTCTGCCAATACAATAATCAGTTCTATGTTTACATTCGTTTCCAGTGAAGTAAATATCAAGAAAGAGGTCTCTGAATATTTCTGCATTTTTTATATTAAAATTATTGGTCATTCTGAAATTTAGTTAACATATTGATAATATATACAGTACAGGGAACAGAGTTTGTGCGCCCATCAGCTGATTGAGTCACCAAACAACGCTTCTCAGTTTAACTTTGTTTACAGTGGAGTGAACATCGAGTTTGTTGGTGTCTTGAATATTTTTGCATTTTTACATTAAAATTATTGGTCATTCTGAAATTTAGTTAACATTTTGATAACATACAGTGCAGAAATTATTATGAAACACGAAGAAGGCATTAGAACCAATGCAGTCTGTAAAGAATATGGCATGTCAACATCGACTGCCTCTACAATCAGCTGTTTTATATGTAAACAAAGCTGCCGGGAATACGACATACACACCTCAAAGTAAGTTAAAATACAATATTCTATTGTTTTGTATTTATTATTGTACAGTATACTGTACACTACAGTACTGTATTTAGTTTATATTTAGTGTTTTGTTTATTCTATTACCTGTGTACAGTACTCTGTATGTATACTTTTCTGTGAGTTGGAACCAATTACACAATATCCCATTGTAATAATAGATTCGGTTAACGAAATTTTCGGTTAACGAACGACTCTGTGGAACGAATTGTGTTCGTTAACCGAGGGACCACTGTATAACTATTGACACAAGCACACGGCGTGACCTCATAAACATAAATATATTTTTTCACCAAAGTTTCTAAACTTTACAATAATTATGTAAGTATTAACATATTTACGATGTTTCTTTTTTTCTGTTTAATAGTTTATGGTGGTATGATATTGCTCAAAGCAGGGCATCTAGCACAGTGGACTTTTTCACAAAACACTGTGTTCTTGCAGAAGGGACAAGGTCTCTGGGCATATTTATTTGCCTGTGTTGAGGGCAGCAAACTTTGGAAGTAGTAAGGAGAGAGTGTGTGTAGGTGGCAGGGTCTATGCTTCCCCTCACTTCACTCTCCGTCTCCAGATCACACCTTGCCTAACAGCATCATCATCTGACTCGAGAGAAGGCCACTCGCATAGGTAGATCAATGAGTTTGACCTGTGACGGGTTAACGACTTCGGACACGGTAGGTATCGTTCACTGACCTTCATTTCTTGTAAACAAACTCACAAGTGATGATAATAATAGTGGCAATGATGGTAATTTTGACTTAGGGTGAAGTAGTAATGGTAATTGGGGACTGGTTAGAGGTGGTACTAGAAAGCACAAGTAATACATACGGGTATTTTTTAGGCTTTATTAAAATTTGTATCTGACACTAAGCTGCATCGCCACTTATCCCTCACTGACTGATAGTTTCACTAAACATTAGGTTTTCAGGAACGCAACCCCTTTGTTAAACGAGGGATACCTGTATTGATAAGAAAATTAATTGTCATTCATCCTCTGAAGGTATTGTATTTTTTAGGCACCAAGGAATAAAATATTAAACATTAAAAATTTCCATCCAATGCCTATTTGGTACTTAAGAAAAAAAGGTAAAATTTTGATAAATTGCTAACTTCGAGAGCAACGGTTCCCAAACATGGGGTCGCTAGATGCATCATAAGGGGGTCGAATAGAGCTCATAGGGTCACTGGGGTCCCATGGAGGTTATGGGGTTGCTGGAGTCACCTAGGTTTTGCAAATGTCACATGCGATTTTTCCTTTTTTAGTTCAGGTGTCAAGGACTGAAGGACTTGGCCAGCAGGTCAGCGTCAGGTCAGGTCAAGTCAGGCTTGCCCTGATAACATGTTTCACAACATAAGTTCCACATTCCTACCTTTGAACTATTCTTAGCTAAGTTCACTCTACTTCCCATGGATGCAGACAGAAGATTTCAATGATTAGATTCCCTGAGTTGCTTTCCGATTCTTTTGATTTTGTTCAGTTTCCGTTCAAGATAGATGTAAAACAGTGTGGATGTTTTACACTAAAAATGGTAGAATTACAGGCTGACAATGAGGCAAGGGTGAATTTTAATAACTATGATGACACATCAAACTTTTGGATTACTGTACTTTATCAGAGACATTCAGCGGTTAAAAATGAAGCTATCAAAGTTCTGGTACAATTTTGAAGCACATATGTCTGTGAAGAAGCTTTCTCGTGAATGGTGTTTATGAAAATTTATTACTGTAACCCTATACTGTACTGTACTGTATCAAACTTCAACTTAGAAAATTATATGCTATGTTACTTAACCTCATATACCCCCAGGTATAGAAAATTAATCAGATGATGGCGTACATGTGTCAGATACAGTTGCAGTATACGACACATGACAGAGATGTAACTTAAAAAATTGTATGTTATGTTGTTAATCATATAATTATACCCCAGTTAACAGAAAAATTATTAAATGATAATGTACATGTCACATATGAATTATGTAACTTGTATT